CTCCCTAAAGGAATACCCTTTCCGTCCAATGTGAAATGCTGTGGTGTTTTCTGAAATGCTGTTGTGTTTTGTGAAATGCTGTTGTGTTTTGTGAAATGCTGCGGCGTTTTGTGAAATGCTGTTGTGTTTTCTGAAATGCTGCGGCGTTTTGTGAAATGCTGTGGCGTTTTGTGAAATGCTGTGGCGTTTTCTGAAATGCTGCGGCGTTTTGTGAAATGCTGTTGTGTTTTGTGAAATGCTGTGGCGTTTTGTGAAATGCTGTGGCGTTTTGTGAAATGCTGCGGCGTTTTGTGAAATGCTGTTGTGTTTTGTGAAATGCTGTTGTGTTTTGTGAAATGCTGCGGCGTTTTGTGAAATGCTGCGGCGTTTTGTGAAATGCTGCGGCGTTTTGTGAAATGCTGCGGCGTTTTGTGAAATGCTGTTATGTTTTGTGAAATGCTGCGGCGTTTTGTGAAATGCTGTTGTGTTTTGTGAAATGCTGTTGTGTTTTGTGAAATGCTGCGGCGTTTTGTGAAATGCTGTGGTGTCTTGCACTTCCGGGCCACCGTAGAAAAGGGCAAAAGACAGCTTAATATTACCTAAGCAGGCATAAAGAAAGTACTAAAGATAAAAAAAGAAATAATACAAATTATATTATATTCTGATTGTGATGCTGCAGTGCAACACATGTCCTGTGTGCTAAGGCTTACTACTGTGCAGCTACACGTCCCTCTCTTTGAGCCAGTGTGGAGCTTGTGTTTCTAAGCTGCACGTCCATGTACTGAAATAGCTCCATTAGGTTCACTTTACTTTATTCATTCAAACAAATCCAGCTGTCCTCAATGGTAATCCCTGCTCTTTTCATTCTACCATTATTTACCTTTACATTCATTTTTACAGAGCAATATTCAGGTAGCAGGATAATAACTGGACTGTTATATTACAAATACATATTTTATGCACAAATATTCATTAACAATGCAGTAAAATAAAGAGGCAATGTAAAGGGAATAAAATAGCAACAATGGGTGTCGGAGCCATATGTTAAAATGTATAGTTTGATATATTTGTATATTATAATCCTTTGTTGATAGTGTTATTATATCATTTATTTGAACCAGCCATGTGGAATTGACGGCATAGACGACCACAGCTGTTTTGCGATTACGAGACGTTATAGCCGACGGCAGCTGCTGGTGATTGTGTGTGAGAAGGAGAAAGAAGCACAGAGCAACATCGTTTTTTGACCTGTGAAAATATGTGTTTATATTTGATACCTTTTGTTTTAAGTAAAGAGTCAAACAAACTATCCTGAGGCTGAGACGTATTTTGTCCGAGTCAAGTTTGCTGCTACCTGTGAATCGAATTTTGGATTAGACGGAACTACAGGGGGTTTACATTCAAGCCTAAAAAATGGAGATTAAACAATGGCAATAAATAAATAGTTAAATCATATTACATACAGTTAATAGGTAAAACAATCATTTAATGTACCTTCCAAATGTGACACTGATTCTAGATATTTTGATCTCAGACCCTACATGTCCCCTCACTTCCACATCTCCCTTCATGTCCCTAAAGCAGGCATTCTTGTGCTTTTCTTTCACTTTCATTCTGCCCTGTTTTTATTTTTAAAGACTTGCTTATCAGTGGCAAGAAGTACTCAGATCTTGTACATAAGTAAAAGTGGAAGTACCAGAGTGTAGGAATACTCTGTTACAAGTAAAAGTCCTGCATTCAAAATGTTACTCAAGAACAGTACAAAAGTGTTGGCATCAAAATATACTTAAAGTACCAAAAGTAAGAGTACACATTCTGCAGATTGGATGTATGATATTAATGTATTAAATAAATGTAGTGGAGTAAAAGTACACTATTTACCTCTGAATTGTAGTGGAGTAGAAGTACAAAGTATAAAAGGGAATTACTCAAGTAAAGTACAAGTACCTCAAATGTATAGTACAGGAGTGCAGTACTTGAGTAAATGTACTATTACTTTACACCACTGGTTGCTATGCCCAAACAACAAAGAGTATTTTGTATACCTCTGGGGCAGTGCTTGGAGTGGGGGAAAAAAGAACTCCCTTATTTACAGATTAGCAAGTGCATCAGTAAACCATTATTACATTGAATAACAAGCAAAGCCCTTCTCAGTCTGCTCCAGATTTAATCATACTGCCCTTTATTTGAAATGGCAAAAAAAAAATCTATAAATTGAGATGAAGCCCTTCACAACTTCGATCAGAGTGTAGCTGTACAGCAGAGATGAAAAGAGCAGATCTACTATCATACTCAGGTACAAGTACAAGTTAGTGTACTTAAAATAAATGTTACGCTATCAAATAAAAATTACTTGTTAAAAAATGTACATAGAAAAAAGTAAAGAAATATATAAAATACTTAGGGTTGTGAAGTAGAACTATGTGCATATATGTTATTTAGATCTGTTTTTGAGAAGGCCTGGGGCCTACAACTGATAAATCATCAAAAATATGCATTCCTGAGTAGAGTAACTCGATTTAACCAGAGTCCACTAAGCATACGGCTACATGTTTAAATGTAACATTCTACCTAAACAGCAGAATAAAAACACATCAAGGCAAACACAGATATAAACAATATAAGCCCCATTGCAGCGACAGCCACAGTCTGTTTGATGTGACTCATCAAACGGACGATAGCAGATGATGAAGTTCAGATCGTTTGGGTGCTCTAATGTAAGCACCTGAGCACTAACGTAATGCGCGTGCAGCTTAGAGTACCCGCTGGGAACCAGTGCTCCCACCACAATAGAATAGCTGCTTCACTTTTTGATCCAGGTATTGTTAATGTGGGCTTCTGTCCGGTATACTTCATTGTTAATGTTGCTGGTAAGACCTCTTCTTTTCCATCTTTGACAAGTCTAAATGTCTGTGAAAAAGACACATGGAGGTCAGTGAAATGTAGTTAGTTTGGGCTGCTCAGACCAGGAGAACACAATAATAATAATTGTAACTGAATGCATTTTTTAAGTAACCCTACCAACCCTGCTTGTAAGTAATAAGTCTGGAGCACGTGTACAGGAATCCACGCACAGTAAAGCACTCACTTTGACACCAATGTTTGGTATTGGAGGGGATTTATTTCATTTTCATGATTGTCCATTAACACAGGGCTATAGAGGATGGATGGTGGACGAGACGTACACTAACATCACCACTTTCTTAACTAACGAACATTATGCTTACATACAATTTCAGGTTACAATAGACAGCGAGGGGCAAGATGATGAAGTAATGCAGATTGGAAATTGCAAGAAGATATGAAGTCACACTGTGTCAAGCACCGGGAAATGAAATCGCAAGGCTGTTTTTCCAAACTGGAAGTCAAGGAAGTTTGTTTTGTTTCCTTACAACACTTGCTGCCTCTGAATGTCACCAGTACATCTTACTGCAGCACTGCAGATCCAGGAAAATGTGTTGTCCTAAAGCAAATCAAAGTTATGGAACTTGTTTAATAAACTGTACACAACATTTACAACTTGTTTGCTTCTTTCTGTCTTTGTGGACACAGATACACATGTAACGGAAAACATACACGGACTGTCTGGATGTGTTCTCTTCCTTAAGAATTAAAAACAAAATGCGGAAAGAGGCGGAAAGCTCCAATGAGAAATATGAAGAAAAATAAAGATTTGATACAAATGAAATATGAACAAATTAAACGAGTATAGTACAAAGATTCTATAAGAATCATAAATGGATTCCAAAGCTTGAGTTATAATTACAAGCTTCCCTCACAGTTCACATAAACACATAAGAAAAGGTTACTTTAAAGGTGGGGTAGGTAATTTTGGAGAAACCAGCTCGAGTGCTCGAGAATTTGAAAATACACAACCGGAGAAAATCTGCCACTTCCTTACAGAGCCCCTCCTCCAACACACACGAACGCGCACATGACCAATGAGGGCACGAGATAAGTTTGTGCACAGATGGAAGGCTGACAGGCAGGTAGGCCATCCAGTTACTTTGGCCGGGCCGGCTAAAATGATTGGTCGTGCTTTTTACAGTACTACGGCTTCCACAGATGACACTTTTTTATGGATTTGTTGTCAAAGCACTTAAGATATTCATTGGTATCGGGATGTTAAGAGCATTCCATGGAATATAACAAAAAGTGTATCTCGAGCTGGTTTCTCAAACTTACCTACCCCACCTTTAAGATGAGTCGTTATTAATCTTTTATCTGTGTATAATATCAGGTTACATTACTTTACTGATTGTATGAAGAAATCAAAAACAAACAAACATCAGAAATATGTTTCCTAACTCATTGTTTCTTTTGTTTAACACAGATAAAACAAAAGTGGCAAAAGTTTCATGAGGAGAAACTCAACAAGTGTCTGTCCCCAGAGGAAGCTGTTTGAGACGCCATGACTGCAGGCCTTCTTCTTCACTGGCAGGGACCAGCACTGCCAGTGGGCTGTGGAGCATTACTCTACAGCTATTTGTAATTATTTTGTCCATCGCATTAATGTCATCATATTTTGTGAGAAGACTCCATACAAAGTGTCCCACTTCCACTTTTCTGCTTATTTTAATTAATGCTACCTTATTAGCACCTATAAGCTACTTATGTTAAAGTGGACCTATCATGCTATATTTGAATAATATAGTGTAGGACCATACCTATATAAGGCATATTTATACTTTTTTTTCTTCAAAATACCAAACAGATCATGCATTTTAGCCATGCCTCATTTTGCTCAATTTGACATTTTTTAGCTCTGTTTTTGCAAGGGCTGATTCTGTGAGAACAGCACCATCTACAGGCCTGGCATATGTACTACAGCGTCTCCAGCGCTTTCAAACGGCAATGGCCGTGGCTGTCTCCTCCTGATTGGTGGTGTTGGCCCAATAGCCGTAGCGCCACCGTCCTGACGTCAGGACAGTGTTCAAATCTGGATCAGTTTTTATCAGATCCGTTGCAGCCCCTTTTTTAGAGATTTGGGTATGGAGGAAAATAGAGAGGGTTGTGTTTTCTGACACTTGGTGAGTTCCCTGGAACACCGGGGACACATATTCATGTATAAAAGACGTACAAAAGTGCATTTTGCATGATAGGTCCCCTTTAAGTCATAAAAGCGATAGGAAAGTAATAGATATAAACATGATTTGAAAACCAACTCAAATCACAGCATGAAGGTGAAGACAGGCTGTACAAAGGAAATGTACAACATATTAAAATAAGCACAGAGCAGTACTTCTGGTTGGCGCTAACAAGTAGGTAGATCTGAAGATCTGTGAAGAGAGACGTGTCAACAGTGAAAAAAACGTCCTTCCTCCTGAGTCTATCACTCATCTTTAGTTTTCTTAGTCTTTTTTCCTTTCCTTTTTTCACAGTGACAGACGGAGAGAAGGCACGCTGCACATTTCCACAAACCTCCATCCTGCTGAATATCTCTGCTTAACGCTTTTGTAAAAAGAAGCGTCTTTGTGTGTGCCTCCTCATACACACATGTCTACGATGCCCTCGTCTGCAGCCAGGAGGTGTGTCTTGAGCCCTGGAGCCATGTCCTGCATCTTCACCTGCTCCGAGTCCAGGGGCCCCTGGGAGTCCTGGCCGGAGTGCTGCTGCCGCAGGTTGGAGCTGCCCCCCCCGGTGGAGTACATGCCGGAGTCTCCGCTGCCACTGCTGCTGCGACTGTGTTTGCCGCTGGAGACATGAACATTTAGTCATTCACCACAACGTACATGATGATATGTGAACACAGTACTTGAAGGTTGTAAATCCCAAAGAGGAGAAGGGCCACATGGGATTTTTTGGATCTGAAAAGTCAGCAATTCTGAGAAAGATTCAGACTTTTTCCCTCAAAATTAGGATTTCTTTCTCATAATTCTGACTTATCTCAGAACAAAAAAGAAAATCACTTTTAATCTGATCTAAAAAATGTTTTGATATAAAAGCATTTTGGGGTATTTCTTTTGAATGCACTAGTACAGTGTCTGATGTAGAAATAAAGCACCTGCTGTCTGGCTCCAGGCCCGTTGGCTCGGGCAGGAACTCGGGGGGCGGGCTATGGATCTCAAGGACTGGGGGGGCTGGGCAGACAGTCACTTTATCACACAACAGCTCCGAGTCGGACTCGGGGAGGAGGCGAGGAATGTCAGAACCAGAGGAGTCACAGAGATACTGAGGGGAGGAGAAAGAGCAGAGAAGAGAGTAACATGAGATTCTAGTGGAACTGAATATAGAACGATACGTTTGTAAACAGCGTGAATAGTTCTTCACTTGGCCGGTGTGCCGATCTTACCTGGAAGTGTGTAGGTAGCTGGATGGAGGGGTAAAACGTTGCCTTCAGTTTCTTGAAGCACCGAAAGAAGCCGTAGATGAAGAGCAGCACGAGCAAGAAACAGATCAACAGAGAGAGCAGGAAGTACCCAACAATATGCCACCACGGGACGGTTCCTGTTAAAGTAATCGATGACATCTTTCTGAGCATAGTTGTATTTGTTGGCACAAACAATTTCGTTACCTGTGACATGCTATTCAGTGTATATTTTATACATACACTTTTATTTATACAATGGCAAGATTAATGCAGAATCTGAAGTATTTTTCTGAGGAAACATATATTTACTGTTCACCCAAGGGGCCGTACACACGCTGCGTGTTTGGTTTGCTCTGGTTCGCTGTTGTCAATGTACAGTACATGTGCTAATTGTTCAGGGTGCAACCAGGACACTACAGCTGCACCCAGAGAAAACAGTAGTTCAACTTTTCTCTGAGCAGAGCAGGGACAGAACACAAAGACAGACGGAGGACGAGGTAACATCAGGAAGTTACTGTCATTTCTGTAAAATGACAGTAAAGACCCAGTGAAATAAAATAAAACATTTTCTAAAACGGTCCTGTGTTCGTGCATTTACTGTTCTTCCCTGTCCCTATAAAGAATTGATCTTATATATATTCTTTATTGGATGATAATTAGATTTTCTTGGAGCAAAATCTTAAGTAAAATAATTTCAATATCACCCAGCCCTGAAGTGTATATGAGGCTCCTACCTTCAGTCTGCATGCAGAGTGGGGGGGTGAAGCTGCTGCTCTTGTTGTAGAAGTCGTAGCGTGACTGGACGCTCACACAGTACCAGGTCCAGGCCTGCAGGTCGGACAGCGTCACCACTCTTTTCTTGCTGCTCAGAGAGTGGCTTCTGAGGGCCTGGGGCACAGCAGAGAGGAGACTTCATTTCATTAACAGTCAAACACAAAGTCTGCATTGTGCTGGGATGTCTGTGAGGGGGTGGGGGAAGTTTCTCAAACCCATCATTATTATATATCATGCATTCACATTTTATTAAGATTAACTTACTGATGAACAGATTAAAAACACTAAAACATGATATGCAGCTCATTGCGCTCGATTGTCCACTTCAATGCACATTCAACTTTACAATTCTGCATTGTCACCACTAAACCGTATATTAGAGCGGAGATGATAAGTGTTCAGGTCTAGCTGGGCCTCTCAACACAATGGGACACAAGAGTCACTTTATAGATGTGGTGCATTAGTGTGACCACAAATGTCTGGACAGATCTTAGTGTGGTCATATTAGTGCTTGAAACTCTTAGACAGTTTGTTTGTTTATAGGCCGTTCAGTCGTGGTCAGCCAGCAGAGCTCTTAAAGCAAACAGCACGTACACACAGAGCTGGTTAAAGGTCAGAAGAAGAATAGGGAGGGATGAAACCCTCTTTAATGGTCACACATGCAGAGCACACAGCACACACAGTGAAATTTGGCCTGTGCTTTTAACCCATCCTAGTACAAGGAGTCTAGTACTAGGAGCAGTGGGCAGCTATTGTACAGCGCCTGGGGAGCAATGGGAGTGGGGGGGAAGGGGGGTGTCCGGTGCCTTGCTCAAGGGCACCACGGCAGGGCAGGAGGTGAACTGGGACCTCTCCAAGTAGAAGTCCACACTCCATATTTAGGTCTGGTCGGGGACTTGAACCAGCGACCCTACGGCTCCCAGTCCAAGCCCCTACTGACTGAGCCACTGCCGGCCACCAACTCTGTGATCAGAGTTGGTGTTGGGTCAAAGAGTGCCATCACATGGTGAAGAAATGTGTGCATCCTTACCGTCACTGGCCTACAGTCAGTATTACTACTAATAGTGTGGAAATAAAGATTCTCAAAGCGGACATATTATATTTCCTGTGGTTGGTTTGGATTGGCCTTCATTTGTCAAACAAACGCTTCTGTAAAGCTGTGATGCTCAGTGCAAAGAACATCAACCCATATCAAACCACTACAGTGTTCAGAGCTGTGCATGACAGTTTTAAAGTTGTTTTATTGCAGGCTGGATGTTTAAAATGTTACTTTAAAGAGGACTGGAAAGCTCATTTTCAGGTTCCACGATCTGAAAATGACATATTTCCATAAACTATTTTAATGTTTCTGTTATACTCAAAAGTGTAGTGCCACTGGGGCACACCAGAACAATGCTCTGAGATGTCTTTTTCTGAGGAAACATATATATACTGTTTACATAAGGGCCCGTATTCATGCACCTTTTTTCGTTTGCTCAAGTGCACTGTTGTCTATGTAAATGCACCTATTGGAAGTATCGTTTAGTGCAACCAGGACACAACGGCTACACCGGAAGGTAGTGTAATATTGAGACAAATAAAGAAAGACCAGCAAAAAAAAGAAAGAATTCCAAAACGATTCTGTGAATCTTTCTTCCCTGTCCTTATAAATAATCTAAATCTAAAATCTAAAACCTTTTCTTTTCTCAAGCTGCGATACAACATCTTTTTGATGACTTGAGGTAATGAGTCGCTAGCTTGTGGCGCATAAAAAAAATATTGAAAAGAAGAGATTGTTTCATTACTAACAAATAATGTAAACGTTTTTAAGACATAAAAAGTTAGTGTAGAATAAGAAATGTATAATACCAATTGTATTTGTAAAGTATCATTCTTTTTAAATGTATAATGCACCTATTTAGCTTCATAAAATGTCTAGTAGAGTACTTGTTTGCCTTAGGGCATACTGTGTGGCAATACACGGTGTATCGTCTCTATGCAGCTTAGAAGTGTATGCTGTGGCCTTCATCCAAAACATTTGACATTCTCTTTAGCTCTGGGTTATTTTAAGACGTAATCTCCTCATCTTCCGCGTCCAACCAGTTTTATATGCAAGCAGCTTGCAAGAAATCAAAGCACCAGATGCTTATTCTGTCATTCACTGCCTTGTGGCTCAGACAGGAAGCCCCTGCTCCGCAGAGAGGGCACGAGTGAAACCAAAAACAGCAACACCGTCTGAACACACGGAGCAGAGAGCAGGTGCTCACTGCGGCTCGCTGTGAGCCTCAGGTTTCACCAGGTGTCTTTGGGGACTGATCAGAAAATGGGAAGTGTGAATACTGTTGTTTTTTCTTCTGCTGTAATATGTGTCTGTAGATCTGTATGGTTGAGAGTCTTCACAGAACAACAGGCTTCTGATCCCAACATTAAAAGCAACAAGTTGAAGTTTGAGGACTTTTGGATTCTAATTATTTTGGTATTACAAATAAATATAGTCTGGTTGGGCCAACTATTTGTCAGAGGGGTGTGAGGTGAGCTCCTACCTGACCGTCTGCAGAGTGTTCCCAGTACCGGATCTGGAAGTACAGATCCTCATGATGCTCCTTCATGGAGCTGTTGGTGCTGGTCAGAGGGTCGGAGATCACAATGTCCAGGTTTCTGCCTTCAGGAGAAAGAGCCACTTTGCTTGGAGGACCCAGAGCAGCTAGCAGGAGAGAGGAACGGATAGTTCAGGGGCTTTGTATTTCTACAGCTGTGATAGCACTAACATAGTGTTTCATCATCAAAAAGAAGATTTATATTAACTGTACACAGCAGAAGAAGAAGATCTCTTAACCAATAATTACATATTAATATCTTTTCATTATTTCATTTCGCTAATAATCTCAATCTTTTAAGTAAATAAAGCTGCCAGATAAGTGTGGTTCAGTATTGGCTTCTAAAATGTGGTGGCGTAGAAGTATAAAATGTAAGTAATCAGCTGAAGTACTGTACCTCAAGATTGTTCTTAAGTTTAAGTTAGTTCAATTTAATTTGTCTTTAATTTCATTATCCCATTAAAAAGGTACATTCAAAACAGATCAAAAATATGTGAATAATTTGCGATGAACCTCGATGAATCGTGAGTTAACTATGGACAACATGCGAACAATCGCGATTAAATATTGAAATTGATTGACAGCCCTAGTCACAACAAATATATGGACTACCATGATTCTGATAACTAATTAATAGTTGCTTTACCAAACCACATTTGTTGTGTACAGTTTCTGAAGGGAGGACCTGCTGCTTTTCTTTTTCTTATATAACATTTATCTGAATATATTTGGGTTTTAGACTGTTGGTCAGACATTTGAACACATCAACAGGGAACTAAGAGTTGTGCTGCTATTGTGTGTGAGTGTGTGCATTCCTATGGGCAGGTGGTTACTTGAAAAGGGCTTTATACATACAACCCTTTTACCATCTTCTAAAATATAGCTATACAATGTATGCATCTTCTATGACCTTCTTTGGATAAACATTAAAAATAAATATTTTAAATACTTTGTAACATGTTGTATTACTATGGCTATTACAATTGTTTTAATAATTGATTAGATTGACAATGATCATTTTCTAGACAATTAAACAAATAAAGAGACTTGTGCACTCTTCGGAGCCAGAACAATTCAAATGAGACAGCACAAGGCAACTTATTGGCATTTTAGTAGGAAATAGGTCATACACTGGTTGAATTGAACTATGACGGTTGTTTCAGGATTTGTTCAGATGCTGGTGTCATGTGTTCACATTGTGATCCAGCTTTAGAGTGAATCAATGAATCACAACACCCTATAACTATATTTGACTTGCCTCAGCTTTAGTTTTTTGCATGTTGCCTTGCTGCACCTACATGAAACACAAGTAGGTCAGTTTGGAGACGCCCACGGTCTTACTGCTTAGTGCGGTTTCTTTTAGAGTGAGCCCTCAAAAAAACATGAACATTTCTCTGATCTTAGTTTACTATTGTGTGGGTTGCTATACATCTTTCATAGTATTTAATAATGTTGAGACTCAACTCAATCTGAGCTCCTCTATGGCAGTGTGAGTTTGAACCTGCACCTCCAGTTATGTCTGCCTGTGTGATTTTCTAAGGTTGGTGAAGCTGTGTAAAACGTGATGGAGATGTTTACTTCTCACGTGATCTTAACTGACGTCTCACTGTGGTTTGATAGTTCAGAGCGGCTTTCTCAAAACACAACGCAGAGGTTACCTTTCCTAACATGTCAGCCACAGCTCTCTGAACATCACTCTGTGGTTGTACCCTCCTCTATCCTGTCAGAGCATGTTTTTCTTACTGTTGATGGTTTGTGATGCTACACCTGAGATCATATACTGCATTCAAAATTGTACTTAAGTAAAAGGAAAAAAGTATTAGCATTGAAAAATAGTAAGGGCCAAAAGGAAAAATAATCATTATGCAAAATGGCCAAAATGGGGGGTTTATTTGAATGAATTGACATACTACTGGGTAGTTTAAAGGTGGGGTAGGTAAGTTTGAGAAACCGGCTCGAGATACACTTTTTGTTATATTCCATGGAATGCTCTTAACATCCCGATAGCAATGAATATCTTAAGTGCTTTGACTAAAAATCCATGTGTGTTGGAGGAGGGGTTCTGTAAGGAAGTAGCAGATTTCTTCCGGCTGTGTATTTTCAAATTCTAGCGCACTCGAGCTGGTTTCTCCAAAATTACCTACCCCACCTTTAACCTATAATAACATATTATATTGTGTGCCGATTTAAATATGAAGTAACTGCAAATAAACCTGCAAAGTAATTAGTAACTAAATATGTAAAATAAATGTATTGGAGTGAAACTATAAAGCAGCATAATGTAAAAAAATACCTAGATTTATTTTTACACAAGCACAGTACTTGAGTAAATGTACTTAGTTACAATACACCACTGGTATACAGGGAGGGCTGATTGTCCCTCTCCCTGCCCCTCGCCTGCCCTCCCCCCACTCGTTTTCTTCTCATCGTTTCTCTCACCGTCTTTATCAGGGCAGAAATCCTTCGTCGCCCAATCAGAGTCAGTCCCGTTCACACTGGCTCGCACACGAAACACGTAGATGCCCGGGTAGAACAGATTCTTCGTTGTAAAGTCACATGACCTATGTGACGTCGTCTCACACCCCGTTTTCCAGGTCGGACTCTTTTTCTTAGACATCAGCATGAACTTCCTGAAGGGAAGAGAAACAAAACATTTTGTATCATCCTCAACTGAAAAAAGCCTTAATTGAAAAATGAATTGAAGCAAACGATAAGGTAGTTTATGTTTTGTGGAATTGCACAATTCTATTGTAAATCTGTATTTATGTCTAACATTGCAAAAGAGAAAAACCTCACATAAAAACACATTTTGGAAATTGCACATGCTAATGATTTGAATCAATGATAATTAAAATGTGATCATCATCCACAATTTGCACTAACTTTATTTTGTTATTCTCAACTCAAGCATGAGAACCTGCTGACTATACTCCAATGTATGCCAGATGTTTGCCAGGAAAAACTTGTAGTTGTTTTCTGTGGTTAGTGTGGATTCACCTTCATTTCTCAAACACACACTACAGTCTCAGTAAGGCTGTGATGCTCATTGTAAAGAATATCAACGCATACAAAACCACTACAGTGTTACATATAAAGGATATTATCAGCAGGAAGACAAACCTGTGGAAAGTGTTAAATCCTAAATGAACTGACTTCCCAAAAAACACCATCTTTCCTAGCTCTAACGCCCAAGGCAGTGTCTGAACTCTCTGATCACATCCTGCCTCTCAGCCTTACACACAGCAGTGTCAGCTGACTCCAATGGAAAATGTTTAGTCCACAATATTGCTGGCCCCAGATAGTGGAAAACAGTTTAACCTTACTTAGATATTGTTAAAGAGAACCAACATACACACTCCACGGCTTTTGATTGTTTAAACAAAACAATATTTTGACTTGTCTAAATTAGCAAAAATACCATTGAATACCATTTATCTGCTTTAGTACTACTTTGCACACTGGCAGTGATGACATATTGTTGTAGGTCAACCAGGAAGTGAGCATAGCAAGGGGTCCCTCCACAAAAAGCAATCACATTTTTCCATTGAATTTGGGTTTATTAAAGAAAATAAGATATTTGGCAGACACACATTTGTATGTCAGTCTGCTCTGATTGGTGAGAAGGCTGGCTCTATTGACGACGAGTGTGTGGGAGAGAAACTCCCTCTGGAGGGAACACAGGGATTTTTGCCTTTGCAGACCATTTACATGCACCGAAACCTATAGAACACACTACAGGAGAGGGAAACCCCCAAAAAGCAGAATAGGGCCTCTTTAATCTTCCAGCAGTGGAAGTTATGGCAGGCTCACACTTGAGTCACATCACTTCTGAAGCAAAGAAACACCTTCAAACATAAATCTTGCTAACAAAAAACTAAACTCTTTTAAAACTACCATCTTGGTTCTAATAACCTAAATGTTTAAACAGGATGAGTTCTCTTCGAGGAGATTATGTCAAAGTAAAGCTTCACAGGTAAATCACTCAGATTCAAAGTGGATATTTTCATCACAAACTCAGTGTGCCTGCTTCCTCTTGCTCATGCATGTGTGACGTGTGAGACTTACGCCACATAGTGGGTGGTGAAGTTGACGGCGCCACTCTCTGCAGAACCCTGGTCCCAGTCCCAGATCAGGGTGTAGTTGGTGTTCATGGAGATAATGTTCAAGTTGTGTGGGGGGGGGGGGCAGCTGTGCTCCGGCTAATACACGAGAGGAGAACACATGAATAAACAAAACGTCAATGATTAAAACATTTGTATTCATTATATATTAGTTGGCTTATCATATGACCCAAATCTTTTCAATGTATTATTATCATATAGGAAGAAGAGAAGGATATTATTCTTACAATTGACACATTTTCTTTAAAGGTCCCATGACATGGCCATTTCTACTGATCATAATTCCATTGTTGAGGTCTACTAGAATAGATTTACATTGTTCAATGTTCCAAACTCACATTGGTTTCTCATACAGCATCTCTGTATAGTATGTGTATTCACTCTGTCCTACACGGCTTGTTGGAGCTCCTGCCCCACCCTCCCTATGAGCCCACTGTGCTCTGATTGGTCAGCTCGCCCACTATGTTCTGATGAGTCCATCACCGTTACAGCGGAACATCAGTGATTATGTGTTACAATGGCGTTTGTTAGCAACCAGGAAACGACAGTCAGCAGTTTGACATCACTGTGCAGTGATCAGGAGGAGACAGACACAAGGATGGTGCTCCATGCCATACATCTTGCAGAGTTATATTCCCGCATCATTGTGAGGTCTGATGACACAGATGTGGAAGTACTGCTCATATATTATGCAAGCAAATACATGTTTGGTTCATCTCTAGTGTACATGCATGCAGGCCATGGAATGAGAGAGAGATATGTCCCCATCAACACCATATGTGAGAAAATTGGAAAAGACATGTCTAACTGTCTACCAGCATGTCGTGCACTCACTGGCTGTGGCACAGCAAGTAGTTTGTACAGAATAGGAAAGACAATCAGCATCAGCAGGTCGTTTGTGACCCTGACCAGAGCTGTTTCAGTGCTGTGGGCGGAACGGAAACCGGACTGGAATTTCTCAAAGAGGCCGTTTAGTTGGAGATGGTCCTGAAGCTGGGCGGAAACTACATGTCTAACTGTCTACCAGCATGTCATGCACTCACTGGCTGTGGCACAACAAGTAGTTTGTACAGAATAGGAAAGACAACAGCATTCACCAAACTCAAGACCCATCTCAGCGAGCTCAAAGATCTGGCCCATTTTGGACTCTCTGCCAGCTTGGAAGAGTCTTTGCCAGTCGCAAGAGAATTTGCGCTTCTGCTATATGGAAAAAAGAAAAAGGAAATTGGACTGATGTGCACAAACTTGGATGAACTGAGGTTCATAATTGCATCATCAACAGATGCAGCCTCGGAAAATCTGCCGCCAACAGAAGATGCATTTCAACAACATGTACAAAGAGCAATGTTTCAGACAGCGATATGGTGTCACAGCTCGAACCCAAACCCTTGTTATGGAGTCCTGTTGGCAAGGGGTGGATTGTCAGAAATGGGGCCATTCAACCAGTGCTATTTACAAAACCCCCAGCACCTAGAGAAGTGAGAGACATTACTCACTTGTATTGCAAAGATGCAAAGTGTGGAGAGAGTGGGAAGTGCCAGTATATTATAGGCTATTATGCCACTTATCCCCCATTCGGAATTTGACTGTATCAGAGAAGAGGTAGGCCTATGTCTAAAGAAATCTCATTTGCAATAGAACTGTACCAGATATTTCCATACAACTACTGGTTAGTGTTCAATAGCACCCTAGACAATTCAGTAATGGTATATTTTTTATGGATAACTGTTTTTCTGATAAATGAGAGAAAAGTGATCGAGTCCTATGTTCCTATCACCAAAAAGTACAATTTCCGTCTAAACTAAAGCTATGTTTACAGGACTATAATTCAGTATTTTTTTTGTTAAATAATTGTCTGACTATTTGTTGATGTAGGACAGCCACCTGGTTCATACCTCAGAAAATCTGAAGAGGAAAAGAGTGGTCATTCTCAAGTTATGGGCTTTTTTGTCACCTTTCCCATATTCGGCCTGGTCTAATTTGGCTCTTTTTCAGGGATTGGGGTAATTCTAAAGAACAACCAAAAAAACATTTTTTTCATTAATGGGAGACCCTAAAGATAAGAAAAATCATTGTTGTCATTTGTTCTACCTCGGGTAGGGGTATCTCGAAAACTAAAGCCTTTTTTGAGGACTTGCTGCTAGACTAATAGGGAATAACCCCCATACTCGTGGACATTCCATTTTTCATGTTCTTCCAAAAATAAATACGCAACCATGTTCCCAAAACCAAAGTACAAACCAAACCGTGAAGTGTGTATCGAGGGTTAATAAACTACAGTGTGTGTGTTCATGGTTATGTTGCACAACAGTTTGTCCCACTGATATGTTTGACTTGTTTTGGACAACAATGGAACTCCATGGCAAGGAGGACAATGATATATGAGGCTTCGAATACTGAAAAATGGAAATGTGCTTATCTATCTACAGTATTGATAAAAAACTAATATAAGCGATTGTGTGTGTGTGTGTGTGTGTGTGTGTGTGTGTGTGTTGTGTGAGAGAGAGTTAAAGGTACAGAAAGCAGCACTAACAGTTAATATTCATTGTTAACAATCATTATTTAAAAAGGGTCACTGAAGTTATTTAACACTAAAATGCTTTACTTATATAACATATTATAGTTACATGCTATTCTTTCTTAAAATCTGATATATGATGTCATGATCAGAATATCACCAGGGCAAGAAGTTGTGTGGCTTTAGGAGTGGGAAATGAAAGTATTTTTTTTGTCTGTGCAAAAGGATTACAGCTGTTGCAACAAAAGCAGCAACAATGGAAGTGAGGCTGTACCAACTTTCCTGGCAGCATGAGAGAAAAACAACAGGTGTTTCAACATGTGTTTGGAAATATGATGGAGACTAAAAGACCCACATTTTCCAAGAAGGATGCCAACACGTTAATGCTTAGAATGTACCAGCAAAGAGAAACAAAAATAAAGGGGAAGTGTGCTTAATGTGTCTGAGACCTGAGCAAAGAAGAACCATGCTAGGAAGTCAAGCTAAATATCCAGCTTACAGCAAGGGGACCTCAAGAAAGAGGAACAAATAATCACGCTGAATAATTATGGCCCAGCAAGACACCTGTCTGCAGAGTAGGAATTGTATTATTGTGTCTTTACTGAAGATTTTCGACACAAGCGACCAATAACACATGTAAAACAGTGCCACGATTATCTGAGGCCTCCCACATGACTGTACGGAAACTGACCTAGAAAGACCAAAAGAGGAAATCTGAGGGAGGAATAGAGACAGTTTCAGGGGTGGCTTTTCATATGGCGCATTTCCACTACATGCCCTCGCTCGGCCTCGCTTGGTATGGCTAGGCCTCATTAGGACTGGCTCACTTTATGGCGCATTTCCATTACAGTTTAGGAACTGGGGTAGTATCTATTAGTGTTGCACGGTGTACCGATACTTGAAAGGTACCACGATACCCTGCCGTTAAAAACGTTACGATTCCTCCGTTTCATTAGTATCGGTACTTTAAGAATGACGGGGAAAAGTACTCCGGTGAGAAAGCGCTGTTTTAATAAGAGCCGTGTGTGTTCAGCGCTCTGCTTCCACTGCCTGCACTGCAGCCGTGCCTGCAGTCCCTCCCCTCTCTCATGCGCTAGCTGCCAGAGCATGTGAGAAACGAGAAGCATGGCTGCAAGTGGGAGTGCAACTGCCGCTGCGCCTCGGCTTGTTGACAAAAAAGACGCCAGAAGCGAAATGTGGAAGTATTTGAGCTATATCTCTGACAGTGAGGGCAAGCCTACGGACACCACGAGGCCTGTCTGTAAGACATGTTTTAGATCCCTGCAAACCCAGGGAGCCAACACATCAAACTTGGCTAAGCACCTCGCCGACCGGCATCCAGAGCTGTTTAAAGAATTTAAAGACAGACAGGTTAGTGAATGTGATAGATAACATAATTACATCATGCTCAAGCCCATGCCCTCAAATCTATGTCAAACAAGTGTAATTTAGTTTGTGACAAACGAACGTTTTGGTAGTTTGACGAGGCAATTAATGGCAATGATAACTGTCTAATATGGCTATCTTTTTAGCTAACTTACCAATGTGGCTAACATCTGTAATGTACATTTTGTCAATAATTATTTATATTACTGTACTATTACATGTTAATAAAATATAAAGTTAACTATCAAAGAAATCACATAAACTCAAGTATAAAGAAGAGACCATGTTGTAAGAAAACACTTAACAGATAAACTACAATTTTATTGATCATGAAAATAATAAAAGAAAAGTATCGAAAAAGAATCGGAATCGCAATTCTTGACTTGGTATCGGTATCAAAACCAAAATGTTGGTATCGTGACAACACTAGTATCTATAGTAACGCAGTGTAGGCGGAGCCGTGACGTCATCTTCAATGAGAACCCCAGAAAAACAACACAGCCGTTAGCTGTTAGCACTCAGAGCTCACAGCTCCTCATATCTGTTCAGAAACTAGACAAAAGTTAAACAAGTACAAACCACAGACTGCCTGTGTCATGGCGAATACAGTCGCTGCTTTATTTATGTCTGTATAGGCCGTTGTTGTGAGTGTGGACGGTCGGAGCATATATTGCGTTAGCTTAGCCAATCTCCATTTAGAAAACACGCATTTTAAAAGGTTTTTCGCCTGCCGTCTGTCTGCAGACTTGTCAAAGCATTAATTCATGGTTTTTACTAACCGGTATCAGTATGTTGTTACTTCGGCATCATTTTGAAACGTGCATTACAATTAAATCACGGTCAAATATGTTCATCTTGTTGTAGTTGTAGCCTCCTTGCCAGCGATTCTCTCTCTAGTTTAGCAAACTCAGCCCTGTTTGTTGGCCACGATAGAACCACGATTTTGTCGGGCCAGAAAAGAGGTGAAAATACCCCCGGGTCGGAACTAGGCATAGTGGAAACGCAACCAAAAACGGGCCCGGCACAACACGGCATGCTTAAACCGCGCTCCGCACCATGGTGGAAATGCGCCATTAAGGCCCCTACACACCAGGCCGATATCGGCCGTCTTGCGTTGTTGGGCGAAAACGGGTTCCCTGTCGCCCAAAATCTATTTGGTGTGTCCCGAACCCTC